TATTATGAGTCTTTATTTATAAATGCCAGGCTAGCCAACATTTTTGGCAGTCAGAAGTTTTTGCTCCAATAAAAAACGTTTTATCTGTCTCAGCCTCTAATAGCAAAGGTTCATCCACCAGTCCCTCCAACAACTCTGCACACCTGCACCTAAGTTTGATTTCATGCCTTTAATTGGCCTAAAAGCCTGGTTTATGTGATTTTATCCCATTAAGAATAATCAGAAATAAGGCAAATTAGAAAAAATCTATTTGAAATATGAATAGTTGAGCGAGGAGTGCTAATTATCAGCTCGAGCTTGAACCCTCCTAAACTACAACATTATATTCAGTTTATTAAGATGTTATTAATTAAAGACATTTGTGATATGAAGAAATAAAAAAACAATATCCCCTTGATTTAAACTATTTTCCACAAAGAGTAAAATAAACAAAGAGAGAAAGAAAAAACACCCCAAATGATGGACCACTGACCAAATGGATAAAAAAGAAAAAAAAAAAACAGCCGGATTCACTGAGTAGCAGTGGACTCAGAAAAACCTTCTGTTTATTCAAACTGAATTTAGAAGAAGTTAAGTCAAGAAATATAAGAAATTTGTTTGTTTTTCTCAAAAGAAAAAAAAAACCATTCAAGTTATGAGTCTATGACCACATGGCTGCAGTACAAACGGCGTTAACCACCAAGCAGGACAGACAATAAACCCTCCAACCAGTAAAATATTCACTTTATCAACATTGTCATTTTTTCAAGAGATGAAGGGGATTTTACAAACTATTCATCTTTTCCATAATAAACACACATAGTCAAAAAGAAAGAAAAACAACAAAAAAAATTCCATCCAAATTATCTACCTATGGCCAAAGAGAAGTTTATGAAACCTTGTTAATCACCAGAGCCTCTTTTTAGCATGAGCACTAAACTAAACCCTCTGATTAAACTGAACTTCATAAGGAGGAAGACAAATAGTTATTCAGAGAAGCAAAATAATATTTAATAAAAAAAAAAAAGCGTTTGGCTTTGGAATTATTTTTAAATTAAAGTGAATAAAGAAGCTAAATTGTTTTTAATTTTGTGGGCGGGGGGTTACTATTAAAGGTATAAAGATTACTGTGCAATACAGGCAATATGAAAAATTGAAAAAAAAAATAACAGATTAATGCTGTACTGGTCATATAAGTTTTACTAGGTAATTTTTTTGATGGCACATATTGAATGATAGAATAGACTGAACTGTGTCACAGCATAATACTGTGAACCGGATTGATTAAAGAGAGAAAATAATATTGTTTCCATCAACTTTTTCACACCATCAACTAAAGTGATCAGTCATAGATCTCTTCATGGAAAATGTTTTGTGACAATAGCAAATAATTATGCAACTGTGGTGAGAGGTAGAAATCAAAATAAGGATCGAACGTAATTACTTAAGAGTGAAAAAAAAATTAAATATGAATACTGAGAATAAAAAAGAAATCTAAAGAAATTAAAATGGTAAAGTAAAAACGTAACCTTTAAATCAGATATTTCAGGACCAGTATTAGGATAGTTAATATGCACAAGACCGATATTAAAAATCACAAAACCAACCATCCGAGCCTCCGTGACGCAGGTACAAAACCTTTACAGAGCAGCAAATGTTTTTTGGTTAGGTAAAATAAAATGTAAAAAAGGATTTGCAAAGCAATTCCTATGCTTTTTAACATTCTTTTAAATATCAAATCCCTTCTTAAAATTAATTATTAGGAAAAAATATATATATAAAAGCTGTCATAACAGCTCCACTCTGTACCTTCTATTTTTATACTATTCATTAAATTAATCATACATTTTCCCTATGCTATTATTTTTTAAATGTTAAGTATTTATTTCATTATTTATTTATTAATACTCCTTTTACATGAATGTATTTATTTTCTTGTATTACCATTCCTTTTGGTTGACTGAGAACAAATTGAAGCTGCCAGGGTTATGAATAATATTCGTTTTAAAAACCAAACAAACGAGTCTACTAAATAATGATGTAAATGGGATTTAAAAGTACCAGTTTAAAGAAAATTACAAATGAACGATCAAATAAGGAAACTTTCTAACTATTTCTATGCGGTATGACAGACTGCAATTGGATACTACGTCTGTACTGTTTGTGTTCAAATAGACATGTAAAAACAATAACGTCATCAGCATAGAATGTTTAAAAAGAAAGTTGATTTGAAATAATATTCCCATAATCCTTTTTACTCATTATAAAAAAAGAATTCCTCTCTGTCTAGTCTCTAGAACGGCAGACTAAATCTGGAAACTTTCAATAAGGGCTCGACGTGAGAGTGATTACAGGATCTTACCCTCCAGTTTAACCCAAGCATGGAGGGGCCACTGGGAGAAATAACAGGACTGGTGTGCAGCAACAAAAAAAAAATAG